AAAAGTAGACTTGGAAGGCACTTTGTATGCCGGAATAGACAATATGTTGCGATCTATCGTAGAGAGATCTGGATACTTGGATGAGTTGATTTCCCACTTTTATAATGTGTCCAACTCTCTCTTCCATGTATACAATTCGTCTCTTTTAATAATGATATAACTCATTATTTGGTTGCCCTTTTTGTAACTGATATAATGATCTCACTTTGCAAGTGGATCATCCCCCTCTTTCATATTCGCTGATTGGCGACTCACACGATCTTCTTCTTAGTGATGAACAGGAGTCTCTCGAGAGTATTCATGAACAATCTTTTGGATTGCTTTCTTCAACTTGTGCATCCATTATTGTTTCCAATTTCACTTCCAAAGTCTTTTAAGATATATTCAAGATGATCAAACTTGAACCTCGGATCAAACAAGACGGGAACACAAATTGACTTGTAGGATTCTTTCCAATACTTCTCTATCTTGACTCCATTTGTTCCACCAGATGCACAATTGTGTTGTTCTTACTTGATGCCTCTTTCTTCAAGATTTTATTAATGTTACATAGATGAGGGGAGTAGACATGGCTAGTTAAATAGTTAGATGTAGAGAGAAGTTTGGTTGTTGTGTAAAACATCTTTAGCAACTTCATACACAACTTCAACCATTTTTCCATTGAACATGTGAAGGACCAAATTTGTAGTTCTTATTTCGTTGCACTAAGGCATCAAAGGCACCTCTTAAAGGTATAGTCGTAAACGAGTTCATAAATCATCTAATATAGGTTGCTTATGAAAACACCATCCTATTTGGTTGGTTATCTCCTGCATACAACTTCGGCTATTTTCCATTCATGAGGTGAAGAACAAATTTGTAGATATTGTCTTGTTGTCCCAAGGCATCTCTAAAAGGTATAACTGATTGAAGTTTTATCAGATATGTTGAATTCCAACATGTTCGTACATAAACTAAAGGTTGCTTATCAAAACACTACTTGGTTGATTATCTCTTGGAATTGTTGGCCTCTGCCTTGTGAGCTCTTTACATATCAAACGGGGCGGAGCGCGACGGGCATGCTTCCGCGTAATGCCACTGCAGATCCGACGGCGTGGAGGGCACTCTCGCCCGCGGAGGCCCTAGGAGGCGGGTACTCCAACATACTTTATAGGAGTAATATTCATACCATAGAATATATTTCACTCTAGAAGCATAATATAATTAAAGGCGGTCCATGGCATAAGGATGTAACATGCTAACTTCAACAACATAAGCATGCATACTAAGCAGGGCGGGTTGAGCAAAGCGTCTATAGCAATCAAGGCATGCTAGGACAAGTGTAACCATGACAGTATACTGGAGTATCAAAATGTTTTAGGCTTCGATTAGACTAAACTAAACCCCAAAATTGAAAGTTGTTTGGGCTGTTTTTGGAATTGATAAGGGTTGCCATTACCCGCGACGATATTGGGTTGGCCGCTACATGGCGGTGCACTGTTTTCCTGTTATTTGTTCTTTCTTGTTTTTTCCTTCATTTTTTCCTTTCTATTCCCTTTTATTTTGATGTACTATTTTTTCTTTTATTCTTGTGTGTTTCCTTTCTAATTTCTTTTATTTATTTTTTAAAACATGACTGTTTTTTCAAATCTGTGAACAATTTTGATTCCGTGAACATTTCAAAAAAAATTTAAACATGTTTTAGATGTGAGAACATTATTGTAATTTCTATACATTTCTTAAGAAAATTGCGCTTTGTGAAGAATTTCATTTTCATGATTTTTTTTAAATCATGTTCTTTCTTAAGGGTGTGAATATATTTTTTAAACCCGTGCCAAAAAATTTAATTCATAAGTATTTTTCGGATCTCCTATTTTTATTATTGTTGTAACCGAGTTCATATATTTTTATCTACTTTCTTTTATTAGAATAACATTTTTTAGCTCAATTAGTAAATGGGCCCAACCCATCTTAGCTCCAAACGCAACACAGTGCGTGTTTGCTCTTAGCATGGGATAGGAGCTCTCGTAGATCACCTACAAAGGGCGTCTTGTCTAAAAAAAAGGAACCTACAAAGGGCGCCGGCTCCGAGAAAGTGAAGTGAAGCAAATAACCATGAGCCCTCGGTTTTTTGCAGGAGATAATGGTTTGTGAGAAATACTAGAGTGTGAGTCCCTCGAGAAGATGAACCTTTATCGAGAAAAGTGCAGGCTAAGATTAGCTGCTGATATTATTAATTTTTTGAGCTTGCTAATATTTACATGTTGATACCTGATTAGACACGAATCAATACTTTGGGACGTAATTTAAACTTCTGAAGGTATACAAAAAATAAATATACTGAGTTGTCGATTTGGGGTTTGCTTCTGGAAAGAGGACACGATTACTCTGCCACAAGTGCAGTGGTCATATCAATAATGTTTACAAGAACGAGGAACACCTATTATCAAGATTTCATCCTATGACTCCGGTGTTCCTTTTGCTCTATGACAGCAATCTAAAGTTCAGAACTGTTGTGATCTATGCACCTTGAAAAGCACGATTGCGCTACTTGGTATTGGATTATGTGAATCGAGTAAATACGACCCACACCTATGGAATTTCTGTCATCTTGTTGCCCATATTTGATAGTGATCTTTTTTTCTTTTCTCCACCAGTATAATTGTGCATAATTTTAGCAGGAGTGCCAAATTTTGATTATATTTATTTTACAAAACTAGAGGGTCCTTTTGTTGTGCACTTCAGCACTTGTGCATGCATGTTGCCTTCAGTTTTTTACTGAGTCGTCTCCTTGTATCAAGTGTTCAGTTTCACAATCGGTGTTCTTCAAATTGTGCATGTGGGAGGGTCTCCAAACCCGTAGGTATCAAAGGAAGAATGTACTGAAAATATTGTAAAGTGTCTATGGAATTTTCTCTATCGAAATGAGAATGGCTGTCTTCAGTTATTCTGCAAGGAACAGACTTTTTTTATGGCTGTATTCCAAACCCAGAAAACAAGATAAGTCACTAATTCACTGTGAATATAAATTCAATTTGATATACTTGCTTCATTGCTGTAGCATGTCCTCCAATGACAGATTCTTATTCCTTCGTCCCAACTGTTTTTGAGATCTGAAGACAATCTAAAAGGAACTTGCTCGAATTGCAATGTATCACTGCTATTCTCATTTTTCATCGCTTACAGGAGCTCACTTTTTTAGGATTCAAGCATTCAGATAACACTACGATATTACGTATAATAACTTAGCAATCAGGTAATTGGTGCTAGAAGCTTAATGGCCTCCGATATTCTGCATCCATTTTGAGTCACACGACAGAGTGCCGTTAGAAATCTTCTCCCGTCAAAAAATTTGTATCGTTCATCAGTAATAAATTTCATAATTTAAAATTAATTATACAGTTCATAAACATAATACTGCCTCTCTTCCTACAAAACTTAGATTCCGAGATGCTCGACTGTTCTAACATCAGCTTACCACCAGAAACATCCGGATCCCGCAGCAGCACTGATGTAAACTGCCCAGAATGAACCGTGTTTCGCTTTAAGTGTGCGCGACTCGAGAATAGGTACCAAGAAATTGGCGTTGGTATTACTGTGGGAGCAGTTACCCATGGGATACCACTAAAATTCTCTTAAGAAATAGCAGTGTGCCTCATGGTAAACACTTAATCAAGAAAAACTGTAGTCGGAGGCGTCCTTGTAACTGTGTTTGTAGTTTTGAAATTATACAGAACAGAAGCAGGGTTGAGAAAACTTTCAGCACTGATGTGACCATCAGGAAGTACTACAGTTTATGTAAGGTACACAAAACTGAACTGAACGAGCATACTACATCTGTTCATTCAGGTTCAGAGGAACTACACAGTACTACTACCATTTAAGCTACAAAATCGAAGCAAGTAAGAACACAGTAGCTAAAACAGGCAGGTCATTTCACATGCTTGCGATAGGAGGACACATACTCTCTTTCGTGACCAATATTCATGATACTCTATCAAAGCAATGTCTGATCCACTGAGAACAGATCATCAAGCAACAACTGCTGTTTCGACAGCTGCACAACCAGGAATGGCATGAGATTCTGACCAATCGTCGCCAGCGCTTGCTCGATGTTCTGGTGCGTTATTTAGGAAATTGTGGGTGATGCAACCAATAATATTGCAGGCACGGTGTCGAAGCCCTGCAGCCATTCCTGAGCCTGTAAGATCTGAAGACAGGACACCAACTAAGTTGTACTATCAGTACGCACTTAGTTTAGAGCATGGTTCAGACTTGCAGGTTTGCAATATAATTAGGCACAGTAGGGATGCTTTCAACAGATTATGTGCACTGAACATCAAACATACTGTGGCAACTGATCGACAGACAGAACTGAAGACAAGCACACTAGCGTACAAGCAATTTTCAGGTACCATCTCAACTGCTCGTTCAATTGGGTTTGGAGGCAGCTAGCAAGATTACACGTCACAAAATTGACAGTCTAATGACAATTAAGCTCAAAATCAGAGCCGAATAGAACAAGCTAGATAAATCAGGCAAGAAAATTGGCACGTTGGGAACAGGCATTCAAACGCAGATGAATGAGAACAGGAAGCCAACATTTTTCATTTCCATAGATGATAGCAACAAGAAGGTACCATCAGATTAGGCATAACAGATCCACCATGACAAGAACAACACAGGCACATTCTGAAACACTACTAGCACACGCACTTCCTAACAAGGATCTAACAGACGACGCATGGATTGCAGATCGCGGCCTAGGCCCTCTCGCCACGGATGCGGCGGGCGAGCTGGATGTCCTTGGGCATGATGGTGACGCGCTTGGCGTGGATGGCGCAGAGGTTGGTGTCCTCGAACAGCCCCACCAGGTAGGCCTCGGCGGCCTCCTGCAGGGCGGAGACGGCGGAGCTCTGGAAGCGGAGGTCGGTCTTGAAGTCCTGGGCGATCTCCCGGACGAGGCGCTGGAAGGGGAGCTTGCGGATGAGCAGCTCGGTGCTCTTCTGGTACTTGCGGATCTCGCGGAGCGCGACGGTGCCGGGGCGGAAGCGGTGGGGCTTCTTGACGCCGCCGGTGGCCGGGGCGGACTTGCGGGCGGCCTTGGTCGCCAGCTGCTTCCTCGGCGCCTTGCCGCCGGTGGACTTCCTCGCCGTCTGTTTGGTGCGGGCCATGGCGCCGGTGTTGGGGATGTTGCTGGGTGGGTTGGGGAATTGGAGCGAGGAGGAAGAGTGGAATGGGACGGCGTTAAATAGGAGGAGAGCGCCGAGCGGGCGGGGGATTGGAGCGGGGAGCGCGCGTGGTTTTGGTTTTTCGGGATGGACGGTGGGGCGTGGACCGTTGGATGCGTCGTGCGTGGACGGCTGGGATCTGGTATCGAGGGGGCGATCCGTGGGAGGGGGGCTTCATGCGCTCTGATTGGTCGAAGAGGAGTCCGAGGGAGTGATCCGCGGCGAGGTGGCTCGCGCGCTTTGATTGGTCGAAGAGGAGTCATGCGGATCGTGCCCCGCGCCACTGATTTCGCGTGCATACTGAAGGCCGAAGACGAAGCGAAATGGCCTGGGAGAAGGGCGCCATCGTGCTCGCTCTTTGCCGCCAAGGCGCCAACACGCCCAAACAAAACCAAACTTTTTTTTTTTAGGATCAACAAAAACCAAACTGCTACTATAGCACGCCATCGTTGTAGCAAATGGAGGGTTCACGGCTGGAGTTACTGCTTCTGATCTTCGACAAAAATAATTTTACTGCCCGGAAAAAAAATTACGGTAAAGAATTGTTTTGGTATTTGAATTAGAACGATTTGTGGGCCAAGTGTTCCCCGGACCGAAAGAAAAGAAGAAAAATCGTGTGTCTTTCTTCTCCTTCAGAATCTGTTTCTATTGGCCCACGCATTGCTTGTGCGCATTGTGCAGTTTGTAAACTGGCACCACACGAGCGCGAGGAATTAGCTGAACGCAAAAAAATTATAAACAGTGGATACACCGAGGCCATGACGCTGCACTTGAGCTGTGTCTCAGTCAAGTCACTTGACCCTCCTCTCCTGAGTGAAGAAACAAAGGTGCACCGTGCACGGTTTTAGTTTGGCAATCACAGATCCCAAACTGATTTTAGTTTGGCAAGTCTGAACCTACTCCATGCTACACAACTGACTGATACTATGTGCACAACTGACTGATATACTATTGGGGTACCGAACCAAGAACAGGACAGGGCGAGGCAAACGTTATTGATAATCACACGCGGAAATTGAGTAGGCAGGGCGCTCAGTGACAGCGGCACAGCGCAAACACATGCCAGATTATTACAAGCCCTCTGTGTGAATTGCATCACAGAAGAAATCGCTAGCAACAGAAATTCATCATTATTCTTAATCGCATATCAGCAGGTTGCAGCTCCATGCAGCAATTTCCACTCCAATCCAGGAAGAGTACTACTACTTGCAGATAACCAGAGTTCAACAAAGATACACATATCATCAGTTTGCCAAACGTGGCAGTGTTCAGTTCAGAAAGATATACTAGTACAAATGGCCAAACATAGATGCGTTCAGTTTCAGAAGAATCTGAAAGCGAGATCTCATCTGAAAGCTGAACTTGCATTGCTACAAAGTACAAACACATGGCAGAGATTAGTACAAGCACTTGCTACTGGTACAAATCAGGTCGGACTGAATTAATCACTAGCAGCGGGAATGCATCACTCTAAATCCCATCTCAATTTGCAAAACAAGATTCAGCAAGCAATCAGCCATTCAGAACCAGCAGCGGTACTACTGCTTGCAGATAAAACACAAATGCACGAACATGGCTGTATTCAGCTTAAGATGAGTAGAAAAGCCAGCATTAGTAAGAACATCACTGTCACAGATGTAGTAGTACCACAACCGCAACATTTTTTAGATAGATTTCAGTTTGCAAAAGCAACACGTTCAGTTCTCACAACCAAGAAGCCAACAAAGCGTTGGCAATCTTCTACCACACGAACTACTACTTCTACTTGCAGATACATCAGACAGCCACATCTGTCACAACAAGCGACGCATCGTCAGTCTAGGAGGAGGTGAACTTGGTGACGGCCTTGGTGCCCTCGGAGACGGCGTGCTTGGCGAGCTCCCCGGGGAGGACGAGGCGGACGGAGGTCTGGATCTCCCGGGAGGTGATGGTGGGCTTCTTGTTGTAGCGGGCCAGCTTGGCGGACTCCCCGGCGAGCTTCTCGAAGATGTCGTTGATGAAGGAGTTCATGATGGACATGGCCTTGGAGGAGATGCCGATGTCAGGGTGCACCTGCTTCAGCACCTTGAAGATGTAGATCTTGTACGTCTCCACGCCCTTCTTCGCCTTGCTGCCCTTCTTGCGGCCCCGGGTCTTGCCCTCGCCGCCGGCCTCCTTGGACGCCGTCTTGCCCGCCGGCAGCCGCTTCTCGGCCTTGGGCTTCTTGCCCGCGGGGGTCTTCTCCGTCGCCTTCTCGACCTTGTTCTCCGCGGCCGGCTTCTTGTCTGCCTTGGGGGCCATGGCTGCCGCTTCGGGTGGGGTTGGGAGCTTCGGTGGTGGGGGCTGTGAGTTTGCTGGAGGCAGGGGAGGTGGGGGCTGGGATGGTGTGGGGAATGGAGGAGGGTGGGTGCTGGGATTTATAGAGGGGGAGAGGTGCGCGCTGATTGGTGGAGGGGTTGGCGCCTCGGATCGGTGACGTGGAGCGGTAGGATGCGCGTCCTCTTTGGCTCGTGGGACAGATCTCGACCGTATATTTCGTATCGGTCGTCCCGCTCCCGAACCGCAAAGCACATCCAAGGCGTCGCAGAACAAGGCGGCATGTGATGCGAGTGTATTTGCTTTTCTTTTTTGCGAGTGTATTTGCTTTTCCTTTTTGCCAGTATATTTGCTTTGTTGTACTGGAGTATTTCCTAGTACCCCAAAACTATACTGTATATGTACAAGCATTTTTGTTCTCTTTTTTTTTGCGAGATAAGCATTTTTTCCTCTTTTTCTAAGAAAAGGGTGAAGCCTCCTCGTTTCTTGAGGAATGTAGCCATAGGACGGGCAGTCTCTTTTTAAGGTCAAGAACAAGCTTCGCTTGATTTACTTATTTTTTTAGGGTAGGTTTATTTGATTTTCTTTTGCGAAAAAATGGAGATTGTAGTACATAGGGTGGACGAATGTCGTACATACACAGGCTTACAACTTCCTCCATTCCGGAGCTCAACCACACAGCGGCACGAGAAGTACTACGACCCAAAGTTTTTGGCTACTGAATCCTAAAAAAATACCCGGGGGCGGGGGCGGGAAATGCTGCTACCGAAAAATACCGAGCGGATGCAGTTTAATTCTTTTAAACAGGATTCAAAATTTGAGCTAGGTATAAATATGTGTTATACTCATTTTAGTGAGGAATGTCATCGGAGTTGCAACACGAGGCAATTCGCAGGCTTGGGGTGAACCGCCGTTGTGTTTGCGCTGTCGTACCCCATCGCTCCTACAGACCTCCTTCAGACCCCATCGCTCCTACCGCCGTTGTCGGACAAAGCCCACATGGAATTTTCATCACCAAAGATGACATCTCTCCTTTTGAATCTATTTTTCCAATATATTATTTTAGCTTCCAACGTTTTTAGTATGTGTTTCTTGAGAATATTCTTGAAGTTGTTTTTAATCAGAGTGAGGGGTCTCTGGTCTTCAATACCATCCATAAGAGTTGATACATAGTTGTAAGCTTCTACGATGGAGTTGAGTTTGGATAGGTTTTTGCTCCACTTCTTTAAACCCTGTATGACACAATTGAATATCGCAAATACATCTCTAGTTGAGTTGCTTAGTGAGAGATTTAAGTTCCAACGTCTCCTAACAGTTTCATAAAATCCATGAAATTCCATCCAATAATTTTCAAATCTGAATATAGATGCTTTGGGGATATCACTCCTAGTCTTGATATGCATGATGAGTGTTATACTTACACTCCTCTAGCCTGAGTTTAAACCGAAATATTTCATTGAAACCGAGATATTCGCTCTGTATTGCCACTAATGACTAATGAATGCAAAGGATTCCAAATATCCGATTTTTATTTCGTTTCCACATCAAATGGGCCAATTATGGACGAAATCGAGCCAATACATGGAAAGAAGTAGAGTGGAGAGATGAGATCAAGTGGGAGGAGCAACATAGGCGTCAGAGTAGAAGATGGTGTTACATATGATCGCGCTCGCTCGTATGAGCGGTCGTACTGCATGCCAACCGAGGTGCCTGATCCACCTGAACAACCTTTATAAGGGCCCACGTCGAATGAGCAATAGAACATCACAGAACAAGCTAGTCATCATCATCTTCACGGTTGCCAACTCCATCAACCCTAGCCGCCGCCATTTCCCATCTCCATAGCTACAACCTTCACCACCACCATAGTTCTCAGCCATCTAGCCATACTTGTAATCATGTATCACACACGACATCCATTATAAGACATATTATCAATCAATCAATCATCATGGTGTGTTCTTCAATGAGTTCTTCATGTAATCTGATCTCCATGTGTGAGTAGTTCGATAATGTCATGGGTTGAGGGAAGGGCCTTGTAACCAGATGTATTTGTTGGAGAGATCGATGGAAGTACTTTGAATTGGCGTCCTGTATGTGTAGCATAAAATTGCTTCGTAGTTATCTCTTGTCTCGTTCGCGTTCTTCATCCCTACAGGTATCAGGATCATGGAGAGCGAGTCATGAAGAGGCTAAGGGCAGCGAGACAATGAAGTGTTATTCTGAACACAAGTGACAGAAAGGTTTGGTGCCGTAACGCATATCCTATCCTTGGGGATCAAGAGGCATAGTCATTAAACACCCAATGCTTTTGCCTGATTATTGCTATCTTAATTAGCGGGGCAACCACGCGAAATGGATAGGGCCTTCGATTGGACAACTGACTCTTGATGCATGACGTGTGCCGGTCAAGACGTAATTTGGACACATTCCCCACTTTGATAGTAAGCAAGCACATGTTGATTGTGAAGGAAATATGCCCTAGAGGCAATAATAAAGTTGTTATTTCATATTTCCTTATTCAGGATAAAGGTTTATTATTCATGCTAGAATTGTATTGATTGGAAACCTTAATACATGTGTGAATACATAAACAAACAATGTATCCCTAGCGAGCCTCTACTAGACTAGTTCTCACTCGCGCCCCC